TTTATTTTTGTTTTTATTTTATGGGAAAAAACTTTTTTTTTTTTTTTTTTTTTTTTTGACATTAGCGGAATATCAAAGTTTTGTCCACATTTGTAATGGAAACGCAGCTGATGACAGTTTACAGTTCATGTAGGGCTGGATGATAAATCAATAAGTATATGAGTCAATATAGACTTGTGATCAATAGATAGGATAGAATATTCAATATACAGAATATTCAAGGTTGGTAGCTTCAACTAACTCACTCGCTCTTTGATTGCTTAGCAACAACCTGCTGAGTAACAAGCTGTCTCAAGTTCCTCCCCAACTTTGGTTGCTTAGCAACAACCTGCTGAGTAACAAGCTGTCTCAAGTTCCTCCCCAACTTTGGTTGCTTAGCAACAACCTGCTGGGAAACTTCCAGCAGTTTGGCATTATTTCAGATATTTAAAACAAAAACAAACAATAATTATCGGTATCGACTGATATGAAACCTTTATAATGTGATAGTTTTTCAGCCGTATTGTCCAGTGCTGATTTTATGTAAAATCCTTCGTTTCACCATCGTCTCTCCAGGATTTTAATCGTATTTTTCTGCGTTTATTTAACGTGTTGCTGTGTCTGTCTGCAGATTCTCCAGGAGCGGGGATCCCGGATGTGAGGCGGACTCAGTATTAGGAGCTCCAGGTGTTTTCATCCAGACGTATCATATCTGTGGAAGAGCGTTGAGCACAAACAGAGTTTTTGGGGGGCGGTGTGCATTTATTCGTCTTCCCTCCACTTTTGTTTTATTTCTCGATGTAAATAAGTCTGTTTACTGACAAGTCGTGCCTGTACATTTAAACTGGACCTTTTTGCTTTTTTTGAATTGGCGGCAAGTATTTTTTTCTTTTTTTTTTTTATATGAAAGTGAGGAATTGTAATCGACTGTTTTATGCTATAAAATATGGCCGCCATCATATAGGGCCAACGAGTCACTCAGGGTCATCTAATGAGTTTCTGTCTTTCACCTGGAGGCTCTAGTAAGGGATCAGTTTGGTTTTTAACACCAAGTATGACAGGAAATCAATGCTTGGAGGGTCAAGAAGGGAATTTTTAACCATAAAGAGCTAGTTCAGCCTGTTGGACGCTAATCAAACGTTTATCCAAAGATCTCAACTCTTAGTCTGAGCTCACCGGGTCCCAGGGATTATTATTCCACTCATTATTATTAACATGAAGAAAACGAAGGAGTCGCTGTGATGTGGCTGCGGAGGTAAAGGGGCATTACACCTAAAGCTCCCCTCTCACATCAGGATCTCCACACGCTGGTTAGAAACCGTCATCAGGTCCAGATCCATTAGTGAGCGTGGGCCGGTAGGACGCCGTTTGTTTTTTAAAAATTATTTTTATTTTTATTTTTCTACTTTTTCTACTCATATTTTTGACCTCAATTTATTTCACCAGTGTTCTTTGGATTTATTTTTTTATTTTGTGTACTTTGACTGTTTTATTTAGATAAAACAACAGTCTTATCTGTTTTATTAGATTAGATTTTTTTTCATGAAGAAAAAAAATCTAATCTAATTTAAACCATCTTATTTAAAAGAAAATAAATTATTCTGCGTCTGAAATGGTTTTTATAGTTATCTGTAAAATTTGTATTGATTATTACACACAGACTAACAAAACTACTGAACACCCAACAAATGAAAGCTATTAATTACAATAATGCATTTTTATTTATAATTCCCTTTAACTCTTGAGATGTCAAATGCTACAACAGTCTAAAAACAAAAAGTTACAATGAATAAATATTTAAAACTATAGCAAAAAAGAAATGTCTGAAGACAGTACTGTCTGATGTTTTTTATTTTATTTAATGTAGTCAACAAGCTAGTGCTAGCTAATCAGTGAGGCTAACGAGCTAGCCTGCAGCCTGCTGCCTTACAGACTCGTTAACTTCAGTTTTCAGCCGTTACCTTGATGAATTATTTTAAATCTTTTTTTTTTTTTTTTTTTAGCTTTTTGACCGGCCCATCCCTGCACAAATGGATCAGAACCGACTCGGTTTCATTGCTAAACGTTTCAGTGGTGAAGATGTAAGAGTTTTTTGTAGCAAACTTTTAACTGTTTGGTTTAGAAAAATTAAACAAAATTTTCCATCATTTTTAAATGAACTGCCAAAAAAATTTAAATGTGAATTATTTTATGCAGCATTTTATTTTATTTTATTCAGTCCAGCAATTATTAACCTGTTTAGGAAAATGACAGTAAATGTTCTCACTCCAGTGATGTTATATTTTTTTAGTTGTTTGTTTTAGTTTTTACGGGGATTTTAATTTTTTTTTTTTTGGACTGGAAGCGTGAAGGACTTCCTTCATATCAAGATCATTTAGTTTCCTGTAAATAACCCAAACTCCTTGGTATTTAACTCTTAAGGACAAAGCTGCACGTTTTGTACACTGTATAGAGAACCGACTTCGGAGGGAAGTTGTTTCTACTGGATCTTTGGTTAAAAACTAAAAAACAAAATGAAGCGGATCGTTAAGTTGCTGAAAATGGATCTTTCTCTGAGACGTTTTGATAACCAATAACAAAGCTAAACTTGGCTGGCTATGAAATTGACTGTTACATTTAAAAACATGTTTTCCCTCTTCTTCAGTGTGATATTTAGCATTTTGAATTATGGGTTTCCAAACAGGATTAGAAGCACTTGCAGTGGGAGACACTGTGCACTCTGCTTACAGCCTGTAATGTTGTAAATACTGCATTTTAGAACACTTTTTTAAGTTGTTTCAAGTTTGATCTGTTCATTTTTTATATATATATATATATAAATATATAGGTTGGATATTTCATTCACAAATAATCATTTAGTGTTGCCTTTTTTCCCAGTGACCAAAATCCAATGTCTTATGTGTATTTTAGACATTGATCTTCGTGTCAGGGACAAGTAAACATTTCTTAATGCTGGCACACGTTGTACATAGACTTGTTAACGGCTCACGAACCTCCATCTAATCACACACACACAAACCAGTTTTTATATCGTCAGAACGAGTATGGATGCATGTTTTTTTGAAGTAGATAAATATATGTATGTATAAACACATGTATAAACACACAAGGGCTTTTAAAGTGTAAAAGTTGGGATGTGCAGAGAGGTTTTAATCAAAGTAGACTGGATTTCCTGCCAGAGCTAGGCTATGTTTACATTTGCTGTAGTATTCTGAAGCCTTCCAGTTAACGTCTTTGCACTCCGCTCGCTCACGTTAACCGACATAACGACCGACATCCACACTCCTCTGCTGTCCGTTCCTTACTGCCACACTGCACAACCTTCACCGAGGAGGTTTGGTCTAATCTCTGCTACAAATACCTCAGAACACATGAAATGACACTAAAATGACTTAAAAGTAACTTTTTAGAACACATATCTACTTGTTTTATGTCAGTACTTCCTTAATATTAATAAAAAGTTGTAGTTTCAATAGCAGATTATTTCACTTATGGTCAAATGTTTTGTAAAACATGAAATAATCTGCCAGTGGAAGTAGAAGTTGGTTGCTAGGCGACAGGCTGGGCATTGCTGAGGTTGCTAGGTAACAGCGACTGTAGAACTAGAACTTTCTCTAATCAAGCTCCTATTTCTTGGTGAAAAGTTACTTATAGGTTTATTTTGCCTTATTTGAAAAAAGTAAAAATAATTTTATTTCCATTAACCCATAAAAACTTTGGTTCAGTTTTTCTCTGGAACCGTCTGATTCTCCCGTTAACGTTGAGTGTCCATACATCCTGTTAAGTTTTAGTGTATTTATCGTAAAATAAATATCAGTTATAAGTGAAATCTGCATTTTTCCCACATTATGTCCACTGTGGGTATTCATGTATTTTGAGATATATTTGGTGAAATATTAAAAAATGCAGTTAAGTAAATATTTCCTTAGTGTTGATAAAGTAATACTGATTTGCCGATTATCAGTTATGTGAAAAAATGTCTTCAATCATTAGTTTCATCAATATTAAGGAATTATTCACTTAAAGCAAACTCCTGTATTTTGCTGAAAATTACTTAAGTTAGTTTTTCTTATTTCAAGTGTACCAAGATATTTTCACTAGAAATTAGACCAAAATCACTTGGTAAGATTTTATGTTTTTGCAGTGCAACATGTTTTCCTCTGACAGAAATAAACGTCTTGCATCTTGTTTTTCACTCTGAGCTAAAGCCGGTAAGGTTTATTATATCTTTAGTGATTTAAAAGTTTGTGTTTTTGGTTATATAAAATCATTTGATGCATTCTACTATGGGGTTATTGAAGCTGTTGTATGTAACTTTTGTAAAAAAAAATATATATTTGTTGAAACTGTCACTATGTTGTGACAGTTTGGTGTGAATTAATCTGAATTTTTTTTTAGCTCCTCTGCCTTCTCCCAGTGCTAACTGGAAGCAACCAATCAGAAGCAGGAGGCGGGTCTTGGCGCTGTCAGTCCAACTGCCAATAAGATTGGAAAAATTGTTTTTCTGCAACAATGAGTTGTTAGTACATTTAAATGTCGTGTTCCCTGGGCTGATTGACAGCGCTAAGCTCCTCCTTCTGGCTCTGATTGGTTGTTTTTAGTCGGGAGTGGCACATCTTCAGATGGCAATAATGGTTCAGAGAGGAGATCAAACATTTCAGGTTATCTGACTACATGGTGAAAAGTTTTAATATGTAAAAGTATATATATTTTTAGGAAAGTTACCTACTGCAGCCTTAAGCCCCGCCTCCTTCAGTCTTCAGTATCTATCATTAATAATCATTCATCTGATGGACAAACTTATCAAATCTGTAGCTGAATATTTTTAAGTGCCCAGTTTGTTTTGCATTGGAGTCACAGACACCGTAATGCATGACTGACCGTCACTGATTCCAGTCGGTGGGAGTGAATGTGTCATTTCTTCCTCCAGCTAACCGCTGCATCAACCATCATGGTTCTCATATCACTACATGGAGCACTTCTATATGATCTTATGCAATGTTAATGTACAAACTAAGTATGAGGGGATTAAAGATGGATCTATATGGTCTTGCATAAATAAACCCAATAAAAAAGTTGTCATTTATTACTGTCTATGTATTTTTATTTCTCAGAATCATCTGCAGCTTATATCTAATGTTTTTTCTTTTGGTATTTTTTGTTGCCAGTTGGTCAAAGTGGCAACAAAAATTTGGTTTGTAAACTTTTTCAGTTTATAAACACATCAACCAAAAGCATCTTTAGCATCTTTTTTCAGTTTCAATAAAAATCAGATTTAGTTGACATAAACCTTGATGCAGAAATGGAGTCAAATACTGAAAAAACAAACTGCACCCATTTTTAAATTGCATTTTAAAATACTTAGAGAACAAAATTTGAACTGTCTGACCTTAAAATGGAAATGCTTCTGATCACTGCTTCTGTTTTCTCAGGTTCTTCTGCAAATTTGATCAAATATTTGTTTCAATTTTATTTATTTTTATTTTTACAGTTTTGCTTTACCAACTTATTAAAAATTAAACTGTTGCACTTTTAGCTTCAGTTGTATTGAGATAAATTAGTTTCCATCTGCTCGATCAGGGATCTGGAACCATAAATGGCTCTTTGGATCACTTGATATTTAAAATAACATTTTGAACTAGTTTTGTTTTTTTGTTCTCTGCCCAAATGAAATAAAAAAACCTGGTATATTTGGTCTAAAACAGCCACTGTTAGCTGGATTTGTTTATCATCGCATTCACTCATTATTCCCATTTTATTCTTTTGTGTCTTTTTGTATTATTTTTGAAAAAGCAGATTGCTAAAATACACCATTCAGTGGGAGATGGTGATGAAGATGAAGTTGATTTTTTTTTTTTTTTCACACTTTGTCCCTTTTTTATGTTATAATGTAAGGCCACATAATTTAGATTTTCACTCAATATACAATATAGTGTATTGTTTATGGTATCATGAATTTATCATATATTTCATATTA